GCTCAGCGGACCCTTACAGACTAAAGGAATATAAATAATTGAGGAATGGACACATCTTCAGGCTTTATGACAGCTTCAAAGGTAATGAGTCACAACTGCTTTTTAGTTTCTCTTGTATACCATGCCAGATATTATGAAAGGATTATATTTTGGTGCTCTTCGTTTCCATAAAATGAACTGAACGATTGAATTGTGGAGAATCTAACTGATGTATGATGTGAAGAATGTCGATATTGAAAAGTTTAGACATTTATATTTGTATGAGCTACCTAAGATGCTTAGAACCAGCTCAATCAGGTGACTGGGTAGGCTTCAGAAGGCTTTATACATGCAGAGAACTTCTATAAAAATCAGATCAGGCTTCAAAAACATGGAGCCACACCAGGCCAGTGAAAGGGACATGTGTCTAGTTGGGATTAGGCTCTGAAATGAAGTTTTATGGTAAGTTTGTAATGCTACATCACCTTTGTAATGTTATTTAACTTTTAATCAAGTCAACATTGGCTTTTGATTTTACACGGCACTTGGCCCCCATTTTAGACTCAGTCTTAACTTAACTTGAACCTGCTTGGACTTGTCTCTGGCTAGACTTAAATGGTCTTCACCAAAGCTCTAGTGACAAGTGACTCCCGGGATCAGCATGGCCAAACACCTCAACACAACAAAAAACTTCCTGATTAGCACTTTGTGTACAATTTAGGAGCATCAAAACATGTCAAAACTGCACTGAGAGAGACTGACTGATTTGTCCTCCATCCTCAAGGTAAGCAGAAGAACCAAATAACACAGCCTCCACTAGACAGTCATTAAGCAATAACACATGTCACGAGTCATAACAGCAGAGTACAGTTAATTGACGGGCATACGGCCATCACAAGATGCTGATGCTTTTCAGCCAGTAAGTCTTTATTTTTGGCAAGAGTGACAAGCATCTAATCATCTAATTCATCCACTATTCTGACTCCCAATTTACTTATTTTTGGGGGGGAACAACAACCACAATGTCCGAATGTTGCTTTACTCGTTTTAACTGTCACACAGTAGATTTGTTTTTTCAGTCCTTATTTTTAGTGTTAATGAATTGAAAATGTTTTCATTGTTGTTGTAGATTTCTAGATTTATTCAACTGTATCTTTGAAGCAGACTGGCTCAGAGCCAGCACTGTATGCTGAACGTGAGCTTTCACCAGCCATCCCAGGTTGCACTTGTGACCCCGCTCCCCCCCACTCCTCCCTCAGTCTCCTCACGCGTGGGATGATGATGTGCTTTCTCCAGCTCCCCCTTTTTTCCAATGTATTTATTTACCCTCTTATACAGGGAATAAATCAAGGTCAGCACACAATGCCGCACACGGCTATTAAGATTCATTGTAATGCAAATTCTCCCAAAGCGAATGCACTACATTGACAGGTACTGACAAAACGGGCAGCACGCAAACAGCCACACATGAACACACACACATACAAAGACACACACATTTACCAATTTACAGATTCTGTGGACAGTTTACCTAAAAGTGTGCAGCCGAACAGCGTGCGTGTCTCACACCACATCTCCTCTATTTCGTCACACTTACATATATCCTTTAATTGTCTAAAACGTTCTCTGCTCAACAGTATTATTAACATTATTAACATTATTAACATTATTATAAACTAAAACACTGTAAAATATAGACACAGCAAAACAAGCAAGCTCTCAAATAATCTGGAATCAAATGCATCTTAACATCAGGATGCCCCATTAGTGTAATTATTGTAAATAAATGACACCATAGTTGAGAGGACTGGCCACTATCTCAACTTGGGTGTACTGTTAGTCCAACTGTTTCCCAAAGTAAACATGTCCCATTAATTCTGCTGCAAAGAGAGCGTGTTTTGTTTAATTTAACATGCATGAATTTCTTTTCACATTCCTGTGACTAGATGCTTCTCAGTTCATGATTTGATCATCACAAAAATCACATCACAAAAATGTGCTGCTGGACTCCTATCCACTGCTCCACTGTATGCCCCAAAGAAATCAGCCAGTACTTCAATGCTTTTCTTTGTGTCAGCTAAAGTTCTGACATTTCCAAAAATTGTATTTATTCCCAGACTTTCTGTTAAAAATGTGAAGTCTCAATCCCAAGCTGCAGCCCTTAAAGGCGAAGTCCACCTGCAAAATGTCACTGAAATATGTGCAGAGTAACTTTTTGCATCACACACTTAAACTCACAGTCACTTTGGATCAGTTATTGGTTGCTATCGATTGCTTGTGCAGCAACATAAGGTTACAGTGTTGTAGGTGAGAGTGAACAATTGATGACTGTGCTTCTTGCAGCTGTGGTCTTTTTACTCACCTTTCTGATCATGATATTGTTTTCATGATAGCCAGCTCTTTATTTTTGTCCATGCAGAGCGCCAAATGAGCTGCACATCAGAAGTGAAGTTAGAGGTTATCACAGCTGGTCTTGACTCAGACTGCCTTCTCTCAGCCTTTGCATATTCACCTGTGTGTTGATAAATTCATGTTGCGTGTGGTTACTGTAGCTGCATCAGACATCCCGTCTGTACGTTTGTGTGCGTTTTGCATTATCATAACCTTTCCGTGTGTGTATATGCGAGAGTGTGTGTAGAACTGGTGAATCTGTCACAGACTTCAAAGCGCTCGCCGCCTCTCTCCTTGATGAATGAGCTGTTCCGATGTTTATCGTGACCTGCTTTTCAACTCAGGGGCTTCACAAAAAACACCAAGGGATGGAGGGATTAACGGGATGAAAAGGAGGAAGAGAAACAGTCTTGGATAAATATCGAAAATAGAAATAGTTTCTGGCTCCTGTGAGGGCACTGACAGTGAAAGAGGAGCACTATCACCCACAGTCTGTTGAGCACTATCACCCACAGTCTGTTGTGATCCATTGTGATGTAGAGTTTGTGTGTGTGTGTGTGTCTGTGTGTGTGTGCGCATATCTGAGCATCTACTCTGTGACGGACTGGGACATGCAGCACAACTTACCCCTCCTTCAACCACTTTCCCTGACGTAGTGGTCACTGTGCAACCGTCCCACAGACCTAAAATATTTGTGTGGAAGACCTTATAGACCCTACATGGAGGAAGCTTTCTTGTAAGACATTGGTTATTTACATACAGCACAGTAGTGACCTATGCTAGCCGCTGATGTCCCAGAATAAATAGCACAGTCAGGCTTCAGATTCAGATTCACCGTTCTGGCAGATCCTATGGACTTCTATGTAAAATGTCTTAGCTAAAATGTGCTCTGCAAACATTGCACGTCCCTTTAGGTTTGCAGACATGTCAGCTCAATGTCTGTAAATAAAATACAGACATTTTTGTCTCAGCACAGGATTCCTTAGTAAACAGTGCAGAAGCTGAGCTGGTAAATAATTTTCTGCAAGCTACTCCCAGCTCCTCCTCTGTTTATACTCACCATGCTCAAGCTCAGAGTTACCAGAGATCTTTCTTTTCTTATCCAGAGAAAGGAACTGAGTTAGATAAAATGGTAGTTCTACGTGAGACACGTTCCAAAGAAAAGCTGTGACAAGGATTTTTGCCGCAGGAAGTCAGGAGAGGTATTCAGGCTCATGCTCAGAGATGTTCAGGTTTTCCATGTTGAGCCTGTCCATGTAGTACCAGTGAAGGTGTTAGTGTTGTCAAAGTCATAGCACCTTTGTGTTTTGTAAGCTTTTTTTTTACTACTGAATTCATGTTTGCTTAATTTATTTTAATTTGCGAGGCAAAGAATGTAGTGTTTTTATCTAGCCAACTTCCTTGCTTTTCATTTTTCTTTCTAATTCAATTGAATAAGTCGGTCAAACCATAAATCGGTATACTCCCATAAACACAACTAGTGGTGTTTTCAGGTGGGAAACCAGTTTGAGATCATGTCCAGAGTAGTAACTTCTCCATTCAGTGGAGCTAGATCTTTCAGGGGTAATGTGAACCTTCACACACTTTACGGTTTAAATTATTATTTTTAAGAAATAGGTGCTTCAAGAGGGTAATAACAGCGTGTTCCAATGAACAATTGGCTGAAATTAAAACCTGTCAAATTAAACACCATTATGCAGGCTATCATAAAATTCAATCACATGGTTGAACTGTACATGCAGGTTGTGTGTGTCGATGTGTGTTTCTGTGCAGCCATAGTGAACATTTGCATATGTACTTTTCAGGTAAAAGCAAGAGGTTTTATTCCTTTCCAAATGCATCTAAAAATGTCTCAGCCAGTAATCCAGAATGCATTTTAACTATTCGCTTTGTTAAAATTTCACTCATGTTGGTTATCCAATTTCATGGTTCTTTCAGCACATTTGAAGTCTAAGCACCTAAAATGGTCTTCTATAAACTTAACAAGGAAAGGTTAGAAAAACACTGCGTCTGTAAACTAACACTCAGCATTCTGGGGAAGCGTGAATTACCCTGCGAGGAAGAGCAAACGCGAGCATGCTGGTGCCTGCTGCTGCTTTCTGAGTGTATGCGAGGTTTACCCCTGCCCCATTTACCATAGCAGAAGCCTATTAACCGCTTGGAAAGAGAATATATTTATCAGGGCCCCCTCCATTATTAATCAGTGCAGAGTTAAAAGTGAATATGTATCAGAGGAGCTGAATAAGGTTGAAACACGGTCTGGATTCTGAGGGTCTCACTGGGAGTATCAACAGTGCAGAGCCTTTTCAGCCCAAATCTGAGCAGAAAGAAATATGACTTTCATCTCCCCTGCTCCACGGTCTCTACGGTTACAAGGCCTGTAATTATACATAGATTTGGAGGAGGGGTGCAAGGGGTGGGTTATGTCCCAAAATGAATGCTTTGAAGGAGATGACACAGTTTTGAAAAAGTTGAAGCCGCATTGATATGCACAGCTTGCTATAGGAGTGTGATTCATGCCTTTCTGGCTGCACTCTCTCAATTTTATCATGGTCTGAGTGATTATGGGAGAGCACAGCCCTTCCCTGCAAGCTCTCTATTTACTCTATTTATTCTCTCTCTCTCTGCAGCCTGTGAGGTGGGTTTCTATAAGCCGGTGGCGGGCGATGGGCTGTGTGGTAAATGTCCTCAACACAGCCACTCAGAGACCAGAGCTGCCCTCTCCTGCCCCTGCGACTCCAACTACTATCGTGCGGCAGATGACCCACCAGCAGCTCCATGTTCCCGTAAGCACAAACACATGGTACACAAGATCACCTAATCCCACAGGAAAGAACGCCTCCAAGACATATACACACAATCGCACACACCCGCAACTACAGAATGATGTGCCAAACTTCTATACCTCAAAAATCCAATTTACTTTTTAGACCGTGATCAAAACTCTGAATGAACTCAAACCTCCGTCTTTCTTTTCTGCAGGCCCTCCATCTGCTCCAGTAAGTGTCATCTCCTCGGTCAATGGGACGTCTGTGAATTTAGAATGGGATCGCCCTCTGGATACCGGGGGTCGCAGTGACCTGCAGTACAGCGTGTTGTGTCAGAAATGCTCAGGGGAAGGATGGCCCTGTGAGGACTGTGCATCCTACCCGGGAGGCGTCGGTGGAGGGAAGGCAGGCGGAGGAGCAAGTATCGGGGCAGGAGGAGGAGGGATGGTGGAGCGTTCAGGCACTGCAGCAGTTCGATTTGTTCCTCGACAGACCGGGCTGACGGAGCCCTGGGTGACGGTGCTCAACCTGGTGGCTCACACCAACTACTCCTTCCGCATCCTGGCTATGAATGCAGTGACGCACATGAGCAATGAGCCATCACCTTATGCCTTGGTCAACATCACAACGAACCAGGCAGGTAGGGTTCGGAACACTGCCATACAATTTCTCAATATGAAGGCGTTGGTGCATATACTGTAGGCCATTTCCACTATGGAACCTGACAACCAGGCTTGGGGAGTAACGGATTACATGTAACGGCGTTACGTATTCAGGTTACAAAGAAAATGTAACTGTGTTCCTTTACAGTACAGAAAAAATAGACGTAATCAGATTACAGGTACATTCTGTAAAATCAGGGATTACACACAGGGATTACTTTAGGCAGAAAGTTTCCATGAAACAGGAAACGTAGGTCTATTTGCCTCTGTAGATGTTGTTTTTATATACAGTCTATGGTATATCTACGTGTTTCTGTAAAAACACAAAGCTAGGGAGGGATGTGTCGCAAACCTTGATTGGTGTTTACAGTAGCCAGTAGCGTCGATCAGGCGATGCTCCCCTTTATCATTCCCTTTATTATTGTATGTTTCTCTAAAAATACACTGAGCAGACAATGCGTTATTGATACTCTATTTGGTATTGAAGTAATCCAAAAGTAACTAAAAGTAATCAGATTACATTACTTTTATACATCTTTACTTACTTTTATATATCTTTTTTACAGTATATAGTACCGGATTACATTTTTAAAGTAATCCTCCCATCCCTGCTGACAACTTGTTGCATGGAGTACACTCCTAGTTTAAAGCGGCAATTATCAATATTTAACAATGTATCAAATGACAATGTGAAACCATGTGACGACGTAAAAGGAGTCACTCGTAGTGATGAACCTACAGAGGATTAGCCCCTGATTCTTCGGCTTTACCTAGCTTTATAGTTTTTAGAGAAAAAGTTGTGTAACTACTGTAAAACCCATATAATGCTGTCAGTAGTGAGCTATTTTGTACACACCAAATGCTACATTGCTACATTTAATTTTCCCTCAGAAATGATTGCTGTGCATCAGACAGGAGGGATGATACTGACATTCAAAAGTCATTACCTGTAAACATGAAAGAAAGTCATTATCAGGGACAATTCCATTCCATTCTTGTCTGTCTGACAACATCCTGCTGTGGTGTATATCTGAAGGAGTGTCGACTTTTCAATGACTTGTTCCTATAATATTCTGGTGGTTGTCTGCTAATCAGAAGGTCAGTGGTTCAATCCCGCGTGTGTGAATGTAAAGGCTCTTTATAAGTACAGTCCATTTACCTAGCAGGTTTTAAAGGTTCAGGTAACATGGAGTTCCAGGTTCCAAGTTGTTGGTTCCTGTAGTGAAAAGATGCCTAAAGACTTTAGACAGGAAAATGGTTGAATAGTAGAGGATGTGTTCACTCGGCTGGGAATCTGGAATAGCGTATTATTCGTACTACGTAACTGTGATGTCCTGGGTTCAAATCTGACCTTGAATTACTCACTGTAAATTATCCAAAAGAAGAGAAATGGCACAGAAATGATCTTTTAAACAGTAAAAGATAGACTTTGCCCTTGGGCATGTTGATGGCTGACTTGCAGCCACATCATTTTGAGTTTGAATCCAGCCTTAGCCCTTCATCACACATCTTCCTCTTCTCCTCTTGCTGTCTTACTCTTACTGTCAAGTTTAGCAAAAGTGCCAAAATAACAATCTTTGAAAGAAAAGTGCTGTCTCAACGATATTTTGTGCTGAGAATGAAAAGCAGGTTGTGGCACACGCACTTTGTTTCCATAAGTACTAGTTGGAGTAGCTGCCACTGTCAGCAAACATTTATGTCCAACTCTGACACTTCTGTGCCCCATAATGACTGTAGAAACACAACAAATAATGCCAACTTTATCTGTATTTCATTTACTTTGATGTAGATAATGTTCCTCAAACATTAAATAAAGGGATAGATTGATTTGGGTCAATTGGGTTGCTTCAGGGGTTTAGTGTTAAAGTTGACTCCCAAAGTGGCCTGCCATCAGGGTAGCACCACCCATAGTGATTGACTCATATAGAGTTTCCAGTAGACCTTAGAGTTGAATAGAAAAGATGTCATTGAGAAGAGCGAATAAAAATGAACATGTTGGACAGACAAGAGATCTTTGAGGTCATCATCCTACAGCAGGTGAACCGTACCAGCTTTAAATTAGCCCCATCTGTGACCTCAGCATTTTGTACATAGCTCCATGATTCGTTCATATAGGTTGCTTCAGATTTATTTTCATGATCTCACAGAAGTCTGTGGCACTGACTTTGTTGAGCTTGAGCTACACTTTTTTCGCCAATTAATTCCTCTTTTCATTTGTGATTTCACTGTATTTTCAGGTGTTTTCACATTGCTGTAGTCTATTTAATATTCAGACTAGAGTTCCACAGTGCACCAAGGTCTGCATGGAACAGGACTGAAGAGACTGTCCTGAGAAAAATGACAGTATTGACCATTTGTTCATCTAAATGTCTAAAACAACATTTCATTTATTGACAAAGACCTCTTGTGGCCATGAAAATGATGTTAGTTGGTGTCTCAAAAGCAAAGTCAAAAGTAGCGTGACGTTGTTATAGTGCTGCAGAAAGTATTAGTGTGGGTTGTTGGATCTACTCACACTGGAGACTGATCACCATACCTGCCGACAGCACTGACAACTGATATTGTCCTGCCAATTGAGGCTAGAGATCAGAAAAAGAACGTGGAATTTTATACTTCTTGTTGGAACTGAAACCACATGGCAATGTCATCTGCCAGAATGAACCCTTAGCAAAGTGTTTATAAAGTCTGCACTAACTGATGTTACTGTCAAAAAGTCACCTTACTGTACAATCAATCATGTCATCATCTGGTCTTAATGTATTTCCTGAAACGCAACAGTTCCTGCATCAACACGACTTCACTGCAGGGTAATCTCATTACTTTATTATATGTGGCAGTTACTGAGGAGCCACATCTTGAACTCACAAAGCAGTAATCTATCCTGTTTCTTGTGCAGCCCCCTCTGAAGTGTTAGCGATCCGCCAGGAGAACACCAGTCAGAACAGCGTGACTCTGCTGTGGCATGAACCCGACCAGCCCAACGGAGTCATCCTGGAGTACGACATCAAATACTATGAGAAGGTACGACATCAAATACTTACAAAGGGTTGGGCGATGTGTACAAAATTTCCATCGGACAATGTCTACAATGAAACATCGTGATGGACGATGTCATCGGGAGCGCGCACGCGCGCGGGAGGCGGCGGGCGTCTTATGTGCATGTGTTCTCGCACATACTTCACTCGGTAAAAAAAAAATTGTAGACTATTAACTTGGATATAACTGGATATTTTATGCACGCAGCAGTGAACACACAGGGTGCAGATGTTGGTTTCAGTTGTTTGATAGGCTACGTCATTAACAAGCCCTCGTGCGGGTCATCTGCTGCCGTGATAACGGATCGCAGGTGGAAATATACGGAAAAAAGACGAGTTCTCAGTCTTTCAGATGACTGCTGATGGAGAAAATAGAGCAGACTGGAGGGGTAGAGAGAGAGAGAGAGGAGGGGCAAGGTGTTTACCTGAGGTGTGTGTGAGTGTGTCGGAGTGTGGGGGGAAGCGATTTCCAAGGCAGGTGCAAAGCATACTTAAAAACAATAATAAGATTTTTTTGCTGGGGGGCAGGGGTTTTACAATCACAACGTCGTGATGTCTGTCAGCCCAACCCTAGTTGGACATCAAATACTATAAGAAGATACTCCACTAACTGCTGCATCTGTATCACCTAAGAACTGCACGTAAAAGCAAAAACCCAAATACTGCAGTCATTTGTTTTAGGGTTGTGTCAACATATTCTTTTCTTTTTTTAAAAAACAGCTAACAAACTATTCAGGCAGTTTATGAAAGGAAAAAAAGTGACACAGTCTTAGCTATACCTGGAGAACACAAGCTTATTGTCTTCAAAGGCTGCGACTAAGCTGAGTCAAGATATTGGGAATGCAGAGGAGTGGCGTTTGGATAGACTCTGGATAACTTAATCCAAGAAAAAGATCCTGCTGGCAGCTCAGCTAATTGAAAGGAAATGGGGTCGAGAGAGGGAGAGCAAGAAGGAGGATGAGACGGTGTGGATTCCAACTTAGCAAAAGTGACAGTGACAGCAAGCGGCTGGCAGGCGCATAAGCCTTGCAACAAGCTAATTGCTGTGTGTGAATGTGTACGTGCAAGAGTGTTTGGGTGAGGAAATGTATGTGTGTGTGATGATAGAAATCAGCTAATTGCAGAGGGAGCAGCCTGGGAACAGGCGGTCTCATAGCCAAACAAGCAGGATGGTGTGGGGAGTGCTGAAGGATTAGCTCGTCTCTTGCTATGGTGTCTTAATCTGGCCTTGCTCAGGGGGCGAGACGCCTGTGGGGGATTTCAAGTGGACAAGTCAGCAATGTGCTCTCTTAAGGTTTCTATACTACTGTACTAAACAACAATGAGTCACAGCGAGGGTGGCGTCCGCTGCAGCAGCACACAGCTGAGGATGATAATGAAGACAAAAAAAGCCTCTTATTTCTGTACCTAGCACTTATTCATAATTAGGCTCTTATCCTTCTAAGGACACATGAATGATTTACTTATTCTGCTGTTTGGATGCACCTTGCACCTATTGTTGAACTCATTTTACCTCCACACTTAGGAAGTATCTCTGAATTAAGTTTGCAAAGATGCTGCACCATGCAGATAAAAATAAGGATAGCAATTACGATGATAATAAGGAACTTTGTTGTTAATCAAGACTTGAAAATTAACATGTTCCTTGAACTGTATTCCCTTTTTAATGATGATACAAAGTGTTTCCCCTATATGCTGAATCATGACCGCCGCTAAAAAAATTTCCAACGATAATTTAACTATGTGCTACAAATGTTTTCACTCGCACACTGTGGGAGCACGGCAACACTCAATGCTTGGCTAGCTTCCTCTCCTCGTTCTGTACAAAACATCTATGTGACAGATGCGGTTATAACAGCGTAACTCCTGTTAGGAATCAGGAGGTGCGTAGCGAGTGTTTGATTGTCCAAGCAGTAGAAAGTGACGGTGAACATGAGCGGAGGAAAATATTCTGGCAGGAAATGTACGGTATCTGTTACAGTGTGTCTGCTTCTCAAGACCAAGAAAAGTCTGTTGTTTCCCCAACTGCTGAAAAAGTGAAGCCTGTTAGCGCTAAGTTAGCATCCCCCTCCCCTTCAGACTGAGCTGAGCAGGAAAGGCGGTGTGTTTGTTCTTCCAGGTCACGACAGAATAAAGGGGTTTAACAAAGGATGTGGGGGCTAGCACTAGTTTACTGAAACTAGTGCAGCCAGGTGACTGGCTCACCACCGTCGACCTGAAGAATGCATACTTTAATGTTGAGGTGACTTCAAAACGGAACATTCTCTGCTTAGTTTTTCGGGGGATAGCCTACGAGTACAACAGGCTACCGGTCGGCTAGTAAATGTGTCGAAGTAGTGTATCAACGGCTGTGCAATCAGGGCATGGTCATGAGCACAGTTGGTCCTACACCTCACCTCACCTCAAGGTTGGGATTTGCAATCAAAAAGAGCACCCCCCAGGCATGCCAAAAGGTGGAACATCTGTCAAACTTGATTCAACCAAGCTGCAGGTGTTCCTGTTGGAGCCCAGATGCATGGCCCGGCTGCGTGCAGTCAAAAGCTGCGACTGGGAGCGATGGTGACAGCACTGACTGTCATGCGAGTGCTGGGGCTGTTGGCTTCAGTTTATCCGCTACTGCACATGCATCGTATACAAAGATCACTTACATGCCAAGAAGCACAAGCACTGTCTGGTGATCGATCCCCCATCAGTGCAGGACGACCTACGTCATTGGGGGTCTCCACCTCATATATCATTAGGAACGCCTCTGGGTTGAATGACCTCATATTCATCCCTGACAGGGTGAAGGGCTACCTGCCTGGGGAGGGTGGTAGTTGTTGTGTGGCCCACAGGGGAAAACACATCAACCTGCTCAAACTTCAGGCAGTGTTTCTGGTCCTTCAATGCTTCAAACCCCTAGTTCAGGGGAAGCATATGTTGGTGAGGGCCGACAACCATATCACAGTGGCCATATCACAGTGGCCTACATCAACTGGCAGGGTGGAGTCCAGTCCCCATCTCTGTTGAAGATGGAGGAGAACTTGTGGTTACGGGCCTCAGAGCACCTGTTCTTTCTGGAAGCTCTCCATGTGTCAAGAGGCAGCCCAGCCCTGGACCATTCCCTAAGTCTTGGGGGCTCTGTCACAGAAGGCGGGAGCAAAAGACTCGAGAGCAATTACCCATAGAGTCCAGTAGAGGGCTCCATCTGTATCTGTGCCTCTGATGAACAAGGGTTAAATCAGGATTTGTGAGAAGCAAAAGGTGACAGATAACTCAAACCTTGGATGAATTGAATCATAACTGTCTAAATGGTCATATTCCACTAGAGGGAAAAGTAATACATCACCCTAAATACGTTGGCAGACCTGTTTTTATTTCTTGCCTTGTTGTGTTTCAATAAATAGTGACGTTGAGGTCAGTTTATAATTATTCTTATGTAGCATTGCCACTACTGAAAGCTCTGATGGAGCTCAGGACTCATCCAGAGGATGGCTGCTTTATTCCACACGATTTTACTGTTAAACTTACCAGTCTGATGTGTAAAAAAACACAGAACATTAATTAATGTTAGACCCTGTCGCCATGTCAGGAAATTGAAATAACTGATAAAACCACAGCACCTCTCTCAATTTGGAGACACACATAATAATGTTGCTGTTGTGTGATGAGAGTCATTAATTAATAACTGAAAGGAAAGGAGCCTAAATTGTAGAAATACTTGGGGGCAATGCCTATACCAAACAAAACATCAGTATTGATGTTTCTGCAAAACTCCAGATTACATTCAATGACGTGTCGAAGACGTGAAGCGTATTGGTAAGTTAAAACCTGCCTTTATCACATTAAAACAATCATTTTTTATTAAAGAGTGGCTTTGTGCTTTCCTCTTATTTGGCATGACATTTGTTGTAATGTTGTCTTACACCAAAAGTGTGAGTTGGCATCGCTGTGTACTACTGATGAGGCAGAGCTAAACTCTAGCAGATAAGCCCCTATTGCCAAATCAAGCAACTTCATCCTAGGATGCAGAAATCACATAAAAATTCAATAAAGCAGTCCTGCTCATTGATCTGTAACATTACCCAAAGTGACCTAATACAAACGGAGATATTAAATTGGCGGCTCAGTGAAACAGCAAAATCCCTGACAGTTGACAAATTTAAATCATCTTCCCACCCAACCCCAAACATTTTGGTACAGTGCATTAATACATGGCTTCTCAATTTGAAGCGGCTACAATTGATATTTATATCCGCAGCTCCCCTCGATTTTATAGAGCGGTATAGTGAATTTATCAGTTGTTAATCTGTCCAGCCCACACATTTACTGTTTTGGTTCACTCTCACCGCTCTCGTAGTGTGGCTTTCGGCAACAGCAGGCGGCTGTTTTCATAGAAAAGCCCTAAAAACTCACTGTACATTACACAGACAGACAGACTGACACAGTTAGAGACTAGCTGGTGATCATGGTGAAGCATTTAGCAGATAAAGAGACAAATATTTCCCTCATGAGTTGGCAGAGACCAAAGACTAACAGAGAGAATATTGGACTTACATTGACCTGGTGGACAGAGACATGACTCCATGAATGATAATGTTGCTCTGGAACCGCTGCATGTGTTATAAGCAACTATTTAAAAGATGTTTCCATGTCAATGTTGTGTACATGGCTACATCATATGTATTGAGTTTATGTTTTGAGTTGTTAAATGCATCAAGTCTCCCATCAGACATACATATAGTGTATTATAAACCACTATTTATAACGTGTTAATATGGAGCAGCAGAGCTTATGTTTTCATTGGGAAACGCAGTGAGCTCATAAGCTGACCAGCATGTCATTCTCCCCAAACCTAATCTTTAAATGTGGCTGTTTTTCTTACAGGATAATGAAGAGCAGAGTTACTCCACTCTGAAGTCTAAAAATACCAGCGCCCGGGTGTCAGGGCTGAAGCCGGGCACCAAGTACATCTTCCAGGTCCGAGCTAGAACGTCTGCAGGCTGCGGACGCTTCAGCCAGAATGTAGAGATCCAGACTGGGAAAGCAGGTGTGTGTGTGTATGACAGTCTATAAGAAACAGAGAAACAGAAAGAGGGCATAATGGAGCAGTGAACCTCCCGCCTGTCGTGAGCCAGGGGAACCCCTCAGCAGTTGTATGTTGTTTAATACAGTGGGGAAAAGTCTAGTAAGAAAACTGTTTGTTGTGTTAAAAGGTTTGGCAGAGAAAGCTTCTTAAAGCCAGGCTAGACGGCACAGCATGGTCTAGGGCTAAAGAGGCTTGGGTGTCAGTGAGGCAGATAACCGCCTCAGTCCATCCCTCTGTTCTATTGATCTCCGCTTTGTTAGAGGGTCACCCCTGTCAGCAAAACTGCAGCCTATCCCAGCTTCAAACTGCTGTACACAGTTCTGGGGTGGGATAGAAGTCTTCATGAGTCTGTCCACCTGAGGCAAGTACAACACTGAAAGTTAGAATATTTAACAAAAACCCTTTTATTAGAACATTTTTCTTTCCTAATAGGGGATTTGGCAGATAACTCACAGAGAAGTCTCTAGGTCTGCAAAGCTCAACCTCCTGCCTGGTTGGAAATCCCTGTGCTGTTTCATTGACTAATAGTCTCTCTTCCTTCTGCTGCTCACTGGAGCTTGACTCTCTTCCTCTTGATAGGACTGCAAACATCCCACTAGCCTACATGCTGAGTAAACAATAGGTTCTGAAGTTTATTACAAACAGACTGAGCAACCTTCGTTACCCAATGGCAAACAGTCATGTACATTCTGAGAGCCGAGTTATACACAATCTTGTGTGAGACTTAACAGGAACCTGCTTTACGTCTAACCTTGTAATCAGACTGAAATTAGCCATGCTAGCAGGATGGCTGTTGGTCGGTCCACCACTTTGGTCCAGACCAATATATCACTGAAATATTAGGGATATTCAGAGGGCAGGGTTGCCAACTTCACTACAGAAAAATAAGGGACGCCTGCCACTGCGGGGACCACACCCCTCGGGGACCTGGTAACCACAGGCCAGTGTGCCAGTGGTGGTAAATCATAACTTAAAACATGTTTTCAGGAAAGTATTAAGATTGATATCAAAAGACATTATAGATGGACTAGTGGTCATATTGTCATAGCTGAATACACAGCTATGACAGCTTTTGCAAAGGATTTTCCATGGACATCAGTGGACCAGAAGTAGTAGGCCTTGTGTGCAGTATTTGATCATGTTAGGCCTACATCCTTTTATAAATGTTTTCTTGTCAGATATACACTATTCGGGCAGCACTGAGTAGCAGTTTGTCTTTCAAACAGTAAAACTATGAACAGGACTGATCAAAAGCTCACTCCTAATGAGCTTCACAGAGCACCTGTTCTTGCTGTCACTTTGTTGGTCATTCTGGAAAATATCCTTTCCACATAACCAGTGGATGCTGAGATGCTCATGATGTGGCTGTTGATAGACAGGATGTGAAAAATTTCTAAATTTAATTTATCACCATTTTGATTGGTGAGTAAATATATTTGTGTATCATATATTTATGTATTTATTGTGACAGTTTTTATTTAGCCTATTGTTAATTCTATAGTACACATGAGTTCTTAAATCAAACTAACTGAATACTTAAAATAAGGTTCTTTTTATCTTCGGTCTCTATACACTTTTAAATGTCTTGGGTTTCTGTATTTATCTCAAATAATTTGTAACACCACTATCACTAGGCTAGGTTTATCTAACGTCTATTAGCTCTGTCACACTAGTCACACTAAGCATACAGTGCTGTAACCAGCATGCTGCAATAAAATAAATGTACCACCTTGTCAACAAAACACCAAGATTTACCTTATGTGTTCATATACCTTTGGTAAAAGTAATAATAAGGCGACACACCAGGGTTAGTTTAGAAATAATAAATCCCCACTTTACTTTGGCAATTTTAACATAAACAATAAAATAAATTTCCCAGTCTCTTTGGAATATCCCTTTTCTTGAATACCAGCATAACGCAATATTATGAATCAGTTACCTTCAGTTCAAATTCAGCTTTACCTCAGTGGGGCCCACACTCACCAAGCGCACACACATATACACACAAGCCAGCATATTAAAAAATAAATATAAAACCCCAAACTTTGTTGCAGGCCTGTGTCGGTGCTTGAGAGCGACGATACTTAAACTGTGGGTCCACTTCACTCAAAGGAGCAACAGAATGAAAGCGTTTTTACCCTAGGTAACAGTTCAGTCCACTGTGCAGAGTTCAACAGTCTTTCCCGGTCTCCAGCAAAACAAGGGCAAGCAGGTGTCCAAAGATGGCATGGTCTGTCCCGCGCTCTGCAGCTGTAGTCTCTCGGTCTCTGCTGGTGAACAGGAGTGAAAGCGTGCGTCCAAACTGGCATGGTTGGTGTCCTTCGTTCTGAAGAACTCTGAGCTTTGACTTTGCAGTTGTAACTTTCAGATAACTCTTCAGGGTTTTCACGTCGAAAACAGTGAACTAGGCCAATAGTATGCAGCTGAGTTAGCTATACAGTGGCTAAGAGTCCATTCACTTTGCTAATGAATGCTAACACAAAACACTGTCAGCAAACGAGCTATCATACACATGCGAACAACTGTACGATACATTTCGATAAGGTCTTTTACTTCTCACCAAAAAGTACGCAGGATGGTATTCTGTGCTAAGACTGTCGAGTGGATAGTCTAAAACACCAGCTTACAACATACTACTTTGCATGAACTTCACACACTTGGTATCGCGTTCGTCAAGATTCCACTGTTTTTCTCATAGGTTTTTCTACATTCATACTCTGTCTTCCTGTGCACCTCTGAACCCCCCCACATAGAACAATGAATGACCAGTATTTGATTTTGATTTGATTTTGATTACTTTAATGAAATAGTAACTTGAAATAATAATAATAATTTAATAATCAGGTTTATTTACAGACACTTTTCAAAACAATGTTAAAAAGTGCTTTCACTATAGCAAGGACAATAAAACACAAACAAATAAGATACACGTAAAAGCAGAAAGAAACTTAAGAAATTAAAACACAGTTATATACTAATAAATAAATAATATATTAAAAATAAATAAAATAAAGTTAAGTTATCAAATAACTGTAGTGGAGTAAAAAGTACAGTATTTGGCTATGTTATGTAGTTGCTAGAAGTTTATAGTAGCAGAAAATGGAAATACTCAAGTACCTCAAACTTAAGAACAGTACTTGAGTATATGTACTTTCGTTACGTTCCTCCACTGGCACACAGTTGGAATGCTTAGCAAAAATGTATTCATCACAATCTTAGTTTTATTTGGGCCTGTAATTACATTATATTTTTCATTCAAAAAAACTATTCATTACACACAAAATGTATTATATTATGTGCTCAACACTTATCAGTTTTTATGTCATTTTAAAGTTAAATTGTCCATAGTTCCTACATTATGTGCAGTTACCACATTATCAGTTTTAAAGTGCGTATAACACTGGGCCATCTGCCTCGACCGGTTGGGGGTGAAGGAGAGAGAGGGAGAGAGAGAGCGAGAGAGAGAGAGAGAGGGCTAGGAGGTGGGGTGGAGTAGTCAACACAATATCCACAGAGAGAAAAACAGACAGTAAAGGTAGAAGTGGTACAGACTGAAAATGAATAATCGTACAGATATTTATAGTAGTGTTAATGGTAATAATCATAATGTTAATGATTATAATAACAATAATAACAATAGGACTAGTAACAATAGTCGTTGTAGCAGAGGGTGTCGAGCAGGAACACGGGGGCAGCAAGTGATTCGCAACCACAGATCCAGACTCCACAGCTCCAGAGCCAGAAAACCTGCAGGAAGTGATAGGAGGAGAGGGACGAGAAAGCACAAGACTACCGGAAAGGGGAGAAGTTGAGTTAGTAACATGCAATAATGGGATGATGTTGCATACAGAGGGAGAGAAAGTAGAGGAGAGAGGAGCTCAGTGCATCATGGGAAGTCCCCTGGCAGTCTAGGCCTATAGCAGCATAACTAAGGGATGGTTCAGGACTCACCTGAGCCAGCCCTAACTATAAGCTTTATCAAAGAGGAAAGTCATAAGCCTACTCTTAAATGTGGAGATGGTGTCTGCCTCCTGAACCCAAACTGGAACCTGGTTCCACAGGAGAGGAGCTTGATAGCTGAATGCTCTGGCTCCCATTCTGCTTTTGGAGACTCTAGGAACTACAAGTAACCCTGCATTCTGGGAGCGCAGTGCTCTGGTGGGGTAGTAAGGTACTATGAGCTCTTTAAGATAAGATGGTGCCTGACCATTAAGAGCTCGGTAGGTCAGCAAATAGCTTTTATATTCTATTCTGGATTTTACAGGAAGTCAATGCAAAGAAGCTAAAATAGGGGAAATATGATCTCTTTTCCTGGTTCGTGTCAGAACACGTGCTGCAGCATTCTGGATTAGCTGAAGAGTCTGGATTTATGGACTTATTCAAGCAGCATGACAATAAGAAATTGCAGTAATCCAGTCTAGAAGTAACAAATGCATGACTAGTTTTTATGCATCATTTTTAGACAGGGCAATGCCATCCAGAGTTATTTTTAGGAGGAGCTTGGGCCCCAGTACAATGACTTCAGTTTTAGCTGAGTTTAACATCAGAAAATTACAGGTCATCCAGGTTTTAACATCCTGAAGGCATGCTTGAAGTTTAGCTAACTGATGAGTTTCATCTGGCTTGATTGATAGATATAATTGAGTATCATCTGCATAACAATGAAAGTTTATGGAGTGTTTCCTGATAATATTGCCTAAAGGAAGCATATATAAAGTGAAGAGGATTGGTCCGAGGACAGATCCTTGTGGAACTCCATGACTAACTTTGGCGTGCATGGAGGACTCATCATTAACATGTATAAACTGAAATCGATCTGATAAATACGACTTAAACCAGCTTAGAGCGGTTCCTTTAATGCCAATGAAATGTTCCAGTCTCTGTAATAGGATATGATGGTAAATGCTATCAAATGTAGCACTAAGATCTTATGAAACCAGTTCAGAGGCAAGTCCTTTGTCTGATGCATGAAGCCTCAGGTTGTTTGTCATACACTGCATCTTACATGTCCTCGCAGGTATTTATAACAGTGTACTTGCGCCTAAATCACTTATAAATCTGAGACAACATTCAATCTGTCCTACCTTTTAATGTTGTGGACAAACTTTCAAAATGCAAACAGGATGTAATTAGAAAACAGTAAGTTCTTTAATGAAGCTCCAAATTCTTGTTTATCTTGTTTGACCGAGTACCACTGTAGAATACTGTACCTGCCTTCTGTGTTTGCCGGTGTGTGTCAGTGTGTGTTAGTATAAACTCTGGACTGTTGGTGGAACATTTTCCAAATCTAACACAGAGTGTTTCTGTGTGATTTTAGCTCCTCTGCGCTACAACACCATGACCATCGTCTGGATCTGCATGGCTCTGGTATCCAGCCTGGTCACCTTTCTGGCCATCATCATCTGCAGGAAACGGCAAGGCTACACTTTACCACACTACCCATCGCTGCTGTGTGTGGAACACTTTCTTACACTACTCTACCGTGCCTCTCTTTGTGTAATGTTGCTTGTGATCAAAACCCAATGTGCACTGTGTTTCTCCCTGCTTTTTCTACATGTAAAGTAAGATTAGAATCTGAGTGAATCCCTCCTAAAGGAAAACCTAAAAAAGTTTTACAAAAATGGGGAAGGGTCTCTTTTAACCTATGTTTGAGAAGCTAAAATACCTTCAATCCCCCTTGTCATGTTGGAGCACGCAAATAATCTGCATGCTTTAAGACAGGAACCTACATCACTAATAAGGAGGACGAGTAGAGAGGAGTTTTGAAAGCTAATGCTTTAGCTTCTCTCATCTCCTCAACCCTCCCTGTCTTCTCACTGTCTTGTTTAGCTAATTTCGTAACTCGTAATTTCCACCTCATAGTGGATTTAATTATGTTGATTCATGTCCATTAGCTTGCAAGCCAAACGTTCCCACTTATCCCAGCAGCCCCCCTTCCTCTCTTTTGATGTCTTCAACTTACGTGTCTGTAGTACTGCACCGAATAATTAATTTCTTTGCACTTAATTAATTCATACTTTAGTGCATTAAGTTTTTCATTTCTATTCAGTTTGAGGAGTAAAAAAATACTGTGAAGGATTTAAAGATGATATCCAGGCAAAAAATGTTGTCACAATGGCAAAGTATATTTAATGGTACTAAGATGGATGATTGAAAAAGAAAGTCTTTACTGATGGTGGAGTTCAAATTTTAACTGCTCCTTTTTAAGGAATACACTAAAAAGAGCGAGATGGGCCACTGGCCAACTAACTTTCAAACTGATGACCAGCATGTCCTTATGACAGAAAGAGTTTTGCTGCTTACATAGTAGGTAAAGAAACTATACCTCACTGTAGTTGAATTAATTGTTAATCACCTCAAATGACATTTAATCTTTAGAAATAAAATACAGCACTTTGCCTAATGCTAGTGCCCAGCTATCATTCAAGATTGTGCATGCTAGCATTGAAACTTTTATCTTTTATGTCTCCATCTCATCACAATTTGCCAAAACTTGTTAAATTGTATTTATATTTGCGCACTTTTATAGCATCTATTTCCATCTCTGGTAGCTGTAAAAAGTTGATTGTTTGAGTAGAAAGGACAGTTTTGTAAGGACTGTCAGTGGCGATATCTCACCAACCTTACCAGGTTTTAAAGTAACTATCCAGACAAAAAGAAAATGAACCTTTTAGATATGACTTTGAAAGTGAGTAACAATTGAATTATTTTAATAATTAAATTATTAGTAAGGAGATGAGAGACAAATGTGATGGTTCCTGCCACACGGAGTGAAATCCAAACACCCATTCCCAGTGTTCAGACATACAGACTCTGGAGAAGTGAAGGATGCAGACATTTTGAAGTGAACCTCAGTAAGACTCTAAAAGCGACACTACTTTTAGTAGAGTAATGGGAAACACTGTGTTAAGCTACCTTTTCAGCAGCTTGTAGTGTAGCTTGCTACTTTCAACACAAAGATAGTGTTCCTGTAGGCTAACTGTGGCCACCGAAAGTAGCTTGTGGCGTCAATAGCTACAGTTTCAAATTAGCTTCCCCAAAACTTCTCATACCAAATGATGCAAGTGAAGGGAATGTTTCCAGTGCTAGTCAATCAGGCTCTTCTGTCACAGGTACACATTTTCAATATAAAGTAAAACCAGGAGCGTTTTCTTATGTAAGATTAAAACCAGTGGAAAATTAATTCCCCTTGTAGTGCATCAGTAGCTATAGTGAGGAAAAAATCATCAGCTCATTATTTTATTTAATCAGTTTAACCTGAAAACATGGAGGCATTTGCCTAGAAAAAAAAAGCTTTATAATTATTAAAGGGACCCTCGATCAAAACAAAAAATTTAAAGTTTGGTTGTGGGTGAATTGACCCTTTATACATTTCTGTTTGACCTTGTTCTCATAAATAATCAAGCATCTTTCTAAGTGATGAACAGTTCTGTTGATGTCAATAATTCATTATTAACAATTATTGATTTATTAACTATGAGCTGTGATTAGTTGAAGTATAGTACAGATTTTTCACTATTCTGTTTTCATCCCACGTCTGTTTATGTGTGTGCATGTGTGTTTGGATGACTGTCTGTTTGTGTGTGTGTGTGTGTGTGTGTGTGTGTGTGCGTGTGTGTGTGTGTGTGTGCGTGTGCGCGCGTGTTTGTCCTTTGCATGTGTGTGTGGTTTGTATAGACACTGTGGCTACAGCAAAGCCTTCCAGGACTCTGATGAGGAGAAGATGCATTACCAGAACGGTCACGGTATGTTTGGCCCATTCCTCAATTATTACCAATAATAGATTAGATGCTATTCCTTGAAGAGGACTATTTTCATCCCCATGTAATAAAGTTCATCCTTAGAGCAAACAATTTTCATCACGCTCTGAGTGATTACAGCACACACATGCCTTATTCGCTGCATGCTGTTTATTCTCTCCCCGTCTCTCACTGCGTCTTTGAGTCATTTATTTTCCTTTCATCAAGTTTTCCTTCCACACTCCAGTGACAGGGGCTCAGATGTGATGTCGCTCTCATTCTCCGATATGTGACCAAATGCTAATGTTGTTTATCTTAGTGTCATTCCCCGATGCAAGGTTCTATATCGACCCGCACACATACGAGGACCCCTGCCAGGCAGTCCATGAGTTTGCCAGAGAAATTGAAGCTTCCAGGATCAAAATCGAGAAAATCATTGGTTCAGGTAAAACCATGGACCTTTGTGCGCTCACACGCCCAAACAGAGAGTCACACACACACCCACACACACACAGGGAGAATCATTGGCTGAGCTAACTTAAAATCATTGGCCAGTGTAAAGGCTGTGGTGTGCAGCAGAGAGGAGGATGGCAGAGCGGAATCAGAGCGTTGCGTGGGACTGTCAATCAAAGGTCCTCAGACAGGCAGGGAATACTAACACTGTGTCAGCGCCACAATACACTTTGCTACATATGACATAGATAGACATACAGAGAAATATAACGTATAACAGTGAGGAAGACAACAGCAAGGTAGATGATTTTTAAAAGATAAGAATTAATAAGAAAGAGGCAGGTGGACAATTAGCTTACCTCCAGTTTTGCACCTGTATGTAGACAGACAGCCTAGATGTGCATTTGTTTCTCTTATCTAACTAAGCTAATCAACGTAACACACATTCTTATTTATAACCTTTGCTTAAGAGGGGGTAGGGGCGCAGCTGAGCACATAACATGTTGGATACAGAGGACTAAAATAAAAGGTAGAATGTATTTCATGCTGTGATGTGATCATGTTGTGTATGTGTTTAGGGGAGTTTGGGGAGGTGTGTTACGGACGTATGAGACTCCCGGGGAAAAGAGACATCCCAGTGGCCCTGAAGACCCTGAAAGCAGGATACACCGAAAAGCAGAAGAGGGACTTCCTGGCTGAGGCGTCCATCATGGCCCAGTTCGACCACCCCAACGTCATCCGCCTGGAGGGAGTGGTAACTCAGAGTACGCTGCCACTAAAACTGTTTATTAATGTAAAGCACTTTTTTGAGAATGATTGACCATGTAGTAATAGTTACAGAAATGTAAATGAGCATGATAATCAACTGGAAAAAATACATTTTGAGGCCTACTTCCATGCCAGACTGTAAATGTGTCCTTCCTTAATGCTTATCTAAATCATTAAAGATTGTTTCCCTAATACGGTGCTTTTAAGCGTCAGTTCACACAATTAATTTAACTGCTTATCCCATTTGGTAGTACTAAAAAACAGCAACATCTTTTTGTGGTTCATTTAGAATGAGGTTCTACCAAAGTACTACTGTCACATTTCTCAATGGAAACTGTTCCAGGGGGCTTTGTGGATGATCCAGATCCAGACATTGTTTCTGAACCTGGAAACACTCAAACACTTTGAGTTCACCAGATCATTTGCCCTTCATTTGAATTGTATTGTGGTGGTGGCAGAAGTCTGCTGCTGTGTCCCTATTCTATTCTAAAAAATAATTATATACAGTATGTATTATTTAATTATTTTTATTTAGAATGCCACAGTCCACTAAACGTCAGAGGGATGAAATAATACTGAATACTAAAATTAGATCTGTTCTTCTCACCATCATTACAATACACAGAATGTATTGTAATGTTTTGTTTAGCTTGAGACAGCAGCAACCACCATTTCCTTACACTAACAGCCAGGGCTGGACTGGGACAAAAAATCGGCCCTGGCATTTTTGGCCGAGGCGGCCCACCAAAACTGGTCGGACATCATTGTCCTCCGTCAGAAGATTTTGAGCATTAAACACTTAATTTCCTGCATTCTGGAGACATTTTCTGCACCAATTTGTGGAGGAAATGTCTTAATTTAAAGGGAAGCACAAAATTCAGGTGGCAGGTGAATTCACAATGTAAAAATATAATAAAATATAATGCAGTAATCAGTAGCTTATTATTATTTTTTACTTAACAAATCCTTTCAAAAAGTGGTGGCTATATGTTCCCAGCATCCCCAGTGTAAATGACCCTCCCTCCCTGCCCTCTCCCTACAGACTGAGCTACTCCATGCTTACCACTTCACCTCCACTCTCCTCCTGTTCTTCTCTCTCACTCGGCCCTTTGTCACTCTGTTTCGCTATCACAGCTCTTTCACTACGCAGGACACTGCAGCTGATGTCGAAGCTACTGCAGCCCCTTATCGGCAAAACTTATCGGAAACATATTGGTTGTTTTTGCGCCTCTGAAGAATGAGCAGAGCGGGTGGGGGCCAGTAAGAGATGTGATTGGGCCAAGCTTTATGGGCCGATCGTTGGCCCATTTTTTAAAAACATTTATATAAATAAATAATTTACGTTACACAGGCACCAAATGTGCCTCGGCCCACCGGGCATTTGCCCGGTATGCCAGATTACAGTCCAGCCCTGCTAACAGCACACTCAAAAGTGTTGTTTAGTTTGACCTTTTACTGACCATACTGACCTTTTATGTATACCCAGATATGTCACTTTATAGTGAACATAATAACTCCTCTAAACTTGCTTAGAATCTGCATGCAGTGAGGAACAGGTATGATGTCAGAGATCTGGAAACCTCACCAAAATAAAACAGATCCTTTCTACAATGAGGGGTGGACGAACAGTGAAAGTGAAAGTTTTTGTGGTTTGGGGGAACTAAAACAGTAAACTTAAGGTACTGCATTTATGTGTCCTTCTTTGCAGCAAAGGTTTTTATTTATACACACACCTTTTCGTTGTTTCATACATCACATGAAACACATACAGGTAATCAGTATGCAGAACATGCATGTAAATAAGTACACTTAGTATCTATCCTGTTGATATGCAGCAAAAGAAGAGTCCTGAAGGTTCCTGTTTGTTTCCTCAGGCAAACCGGTGATGATCATCACAGAGTACATGGAGAACGGCTCTCTGGACTCCTTCCTCAGGGTTCGTATTGAAGCTTTAGGTTGAACAGTTTTTAAGTAATAAAGGTTCCTGTCTGCGTTTAATGTTGTTTAATTTTGTCTTTGTCTGTAAATGAGGTGATGTTTTCCTTCTCTGTTAAACTATGACATCTGTAACTGCTCATCATCCATGTTCGGTTTTATGAACCTCTGAGGTTGGAGAATGTTCTCAAAACATCAGGGAGACTGGGAAAACATAAAAATCTAAAACGTGTTTTTCACAGGAGAGCAGCATCACTTCACATCATGTCCTGTGTATCAGAGTATTGTTGCCAGGATAGAGGGACTAGTGGCTTGCTATTAAATGTGAAAGTTTTCTTTGGCAAGATATAAGTTGATTTAACATTGTATTACATCGACAATGTCAAACAGCTCCAGTATTTGCTTATATGAAAATATTTCGGATTATTACTTAAAAGCAAATCCCTGTCATGTTTTATTCTCTTATCTTTACTCTCTTCTCTATCTTGATTAAAATCTCTTCTATTATCACTCTCTTCATCTTTTCTGCTGCTATACCATCACGTTTTTTTGATCTGCCATTAAAAGTCTCACTCCGTACTTCCTCCTTCCCTATCTTTCCCTTTTCTCTTCTGCCTTCCTGTAGAGACACGATGGCCAGTTCACCATCATCCAGCTGGTTGGGTTGCTGCGCGGCATTGCAGCAGGTATGACCTACCTGTCTGACCTGGGCTACATCCACAGAGACCTGGCTGCCCGCAACATCCTGGTCAACAGCAACCTGGTGTGTAAGGTGTCTGACTTCGGCCTGTCCCGAGTACTGGAGGATGACCCCGACGCTGCATACACCACCAGTGTGAGTTTTCACATCGAGGCAAGCATTACTGCAGTGCACACAAACACACACGCACACACACACATTCAGACACATACACAATTCTTTAAAATAAAGTTTGGGAGTGGCATTCACAGGTAATGGGACAGAAAAAACAACTACAATTTAAATGCACAAACCCAGAAAGAATGTTGGTGAATGGACGTCTCCACTGATATGTAGAAATATGTATGTACGGCATGTACAGCTGCAGCCTCTATAAAGTTGGGCGACTCACAACAGACAATTAAAATAGTAAAACCTGAAGCAGCAGAGGCTTTTTTTTACACCCTAGTGTGGATGAAAGTTTCACAACCAGTACCAACCAAGAGAACACAAGTGATGCATTGATGTGACTTTTTCTCTCCAGATACCAATTTGGATAGCTAAACTTAGGGTATCTGCAAATACCAATTTCATATTTTGCTCTCTTTTCCCAAACTTAAATGGACACTCCACCTTTTTATACCTGACGTTCTGGGGGAAGTTAGCTTCAACCTGCTAACATTTGTCGTCAATAACATGTAACATCAGTCCTCATTTTTGTAGCATCTCTCCTCGATCAGGCTTTTTTAAAAGAAATAAAGCCTTACATCCACCTTAACATTAATATGAATTTATTGTGAAGCACAAGCAGGAAATGTTGAGTAACAGCAGTAGCTTTAATGTAGATCGCTGATGTCTGGCCCATACCAGACCCTCCTCCCCAAAAATACATCCGTATAAGGTGTCAGTGTAAGCAGCTTATTATGACCCTTATTTATGTTTATTGTTAGGCGGCGACCATTAGTGGCTGTAGTAATTATGACATGAGCAAAGGTCAGGTGACAAAGTCCCAGGAGAACGCTGTTTGTGTTCTGTGGGAAACCAAAAGTTAACAATGACTTATTTTAATTTACATACGCAAGTTACGTCATGTGACTTACCTCACCTCAATTACCCCAACCACAATCTTTTCCTAAACCTAACCAAGCACTTTTGGTGTCTAACCAAAAGCTAACCACATGTATTTTATTGTTACCATGAGAACAAAGCTGGTACTCTCCAGTGGTCATACATGGTGTTTTGAAGTGTGAGGACGTGTTGACTGATAAACACTACACTTCAAAACATCAGTATCTGAGCCAATAAATCTGATTTGTGCATCTTTAGTAAACACCCATGTCAAATGCCACACCTCCAGTCTGTAATACTCCTCCACCCCAAGCCAAGATAACCCTGATGGTGTCAGTATGATGTCATCAGGGTTATGTACTCCTCTGGAGGCACAGAAGACAATATGTCTAAAATCAGTAGTGTTTCATCTTTAAAGTTGCACTAGGAAGGTTTCACATTTTGAACTTCAGACTCCAGACTTGTGAGTTTAGCTTTCTCTGGGCAGAATCTCATTCCAGTCATCAGATTACATTTAGGCAAATGTACTGTAGATCTTCATATTTTGTCAATTTAGCTGACAAATAAAAATATATTATTACAGAAGGCAAAATCACTGAAACCTGGCCAGGAAAGTAGAAGTTGGAGACAAATACAACAATATACATTAAAGTGAGAACAAAGTAAAATCATCTTTCTATGTGCTCCAGCAGAGCAGTCCAATATCCAACTCACAGACTTCTGAAGGGGAAAAGGATTGTAGATGATGATATTACAGAAACTATAGCATTGTCACAGCACATCTGGATTTAATGGCTGATAATGGCTGAAGATTAATACAGTTCACATTATTGCCTGGAATCTGAGTAAAGTGAAAAAGCTGCCTATTCTGTAGAATCTCACTTTGAAGATCCTGAAAGTACTAAGATCATGAGTTAAAGGTTCAGTGTGTAATATTTCTGAGGATCTATTTACAGAAATGCAATATAAGATCCATAACTATGTTTTCAGTGGTGTATAAAGACCTTACATGATTAACTGTTATGTTTTTATTACCTTAGAAACGAGTCTCCCTTACATAGACGTCGCCATGTTGCACAGGCATGTTTCTACAGTAGCCCAGAACAGACAATTCTTCTAGAATTCTGGCAGTGTAGACGCTCATCACTACGTAGAATACGTACGTTCGAAGAGGAAGAAGAAGTAGTAACATACAGCAGGGGTCGGCAAGTAAGTTTTGCATCAGAGCAATTTTTTTATCCATTAGATGATGGGTGAGAATATAAGACAGAATTTTTAAACTGCATATTATGGTGCTCAGTTAGCTCAGTCGGTAAAGTGCAAGACTCTTACCTAGGAGATTGGGTGCTGCAGTGTGTTCCGGAGTTTGATCCGTATCCATCATCCTACGGTCGCTTTTTCATTTCCCCACTATCTCCAGGTGGAGGACATTTAAGGGAATCATCTTTTCTAGCTATTTCAGAGGTGTGTCAAGCAGGCTACAGACTATTTAATGTCAATTTTTCAAAGTAAAAGCCCTCATTTCAACTCAAAATAAAGCATTGGTAGACTAGACAGTTTTTTGCAATTCTCAACTTCACCGCTAGATGCCACTAAATCTTACACTTAAACTTTAACCTCTGAGAATTCCAGTGGGTCATGTTGCTGGTTTTATTGTTTAGGAGGACGTTGTTACGACCTGTCTCGTGTGTGCAAGTAAAGTAACATAGATCCAGATGGATTTAGTAAAAGTAAAGTTATTGTTATAGGGTGAGAGCTTGACACAATGTAAATGCTCCGTATTTGCGTAATGGCGTGGGTTTTAATCAGGTTCACAATTTTTACTGCCTCACCCAGGACCACATGCAGCTCCTCGGGTATCTTCGTGACCGCCAATGCCTGTCGATGGATGATGCAGTGATTTCAAACAGTGTTGGGAGCCAGGTCTTGCACGCGTTTCATCATACCACTATGGCAACCTGTCATTGCCCTGGCCCCATCGCTACATATACCACAGCACCGCTTCCAATCAATGTTAAATAATTCTTCTGTCGTGGTGTGAGCTGTCGAGAATGACAAAACAGAAACTTCTTCTGGACATTGAGCTCTCTGATGCAGGTCATAGGTCATTAGCTGCGCGCAGTTAGTCACATCGGTGGAGAAGTAAGGACTTCCACAAATACCATCCAAGACCTGCTCCTTCACATCCAATGCCATGTCAGAGATATGGCGTTGGACGGTGTTATTAGACAAGGAGATGACATTCAACTTGGCTGCTGTAGCTCCTCCCATCATCACTGAGCACATATTTATGGCAGGTAAGAGTAATGTTTCACCAATGTTGTGGGGCTTGCGCGCCTTTGCAATGCGTAACGCTACGAGATATGATGCTTCAGTTGCCTTGCAGTTTGAAGTGCTGACTGTTTCGACTATCTTTATCTTTAGTTCCTTTAGCTTTGTACTAAAAACTCTAGCGGCTTAGAAACCAAAGTTTGGTGCATGGTCTCCCGATGCCTGCGCAGTTTGCAGGATCTCATGCTATCGTTAGCCAGCACCTCTTTACAAACCACACATTGTGGCTTTGGAGCATCAGCAGGCTCAGTAAAAGAAAATTCCAACTTTAAATATGCATCATCATACTTTCTGCGCTTTCTGCTAGGTTCAGACATTTTCTCTCCTGTTGAGTGAAGTTGCTCTATCCGCTAGCTAATTACATGTGTCCTGTCATTTACATAACCATTTCACCAGGGGACTATGATCCCATACAGGCGCTAAGTAACTGTATTGAGCAGGTCAACGATTGGATGTGCCAGAATTTTCTTCAATTAAACAAGGATAAAACTGAAGTTATTGTTTTTGGAGCCAGGGAGGAAGATTGGAAGTCAGTGCTCGACTTCAATCTGTAATGTTAAGAACCACAAATCAAGCCAGAAATCTTGGTGTAGTCATGGACTCAGACCTGAATTTGAGGAGCCACATTAACACAATTACAATCACCTGGAGAATATATCAAGGATTAAAGGACTTATGTCTCAGCAGGACCTGGAAAAACTTATCCATGCATTTATCTTCAGTAGACTTGACTACTGTAACAGTGTCTTTACAGGGCTCCCTAAGAAATCCATCAGACAGCTACAGCTGATTCAGAACGCTGCTGCTCGAGTCCTCACTAAGACCAAAAAGGTGGATCACATCAGTCCAGTTCTGAGGCCTTTACATTGGCTTCCTGTATGTCAAAGAATTTATTTCAAAATCCTGCTGTTAGTTTATGTTCAGTTATTAAGCTCCGTATATCTGGAACAAACTCCCAGATAACTGCAGGTCGGCTGAAACAGTCAGTTCTTTTAAATTAAGACTGAAGACTTTTCTTTTTACCATTGCTTTTAATTAAATATTTAAGATTTTTCTTTTTATTGATAACTTACACTGCACTGTAACTTTTACTGTCCTTTTTCTTCTTTTCGTTTTTAGCTTTTTAGCATTGCTTTTAATTAAATATTTACACAGTGAGAAATGAGCAGGTAACTGAGTTGGGGGATTATGGGAGTGAGATTGAACAGAGTGAAGGAAGTGGTAAGTGTACTTCTCTGTTTATTCTCTTTTCAGGATGATTGTAACTCAGTTATTTGCTCGACCCCTCAGCCTGTTTTTATTTTCCATTTAACTCTTTTAACCCTGATTGTAACACTGTAACTTTTATTATATTTTATGTTGCTTTTAAACTTTTTTATATTTCCCTGTTGCTTTTATGTTTTATGTAAAGCACTTTGAATTACCTTGTTGTTGAAATGTGCTATACAAATAAACTCACACATCTGCTGTCCGAATAAAATAAAAAAAATATATATCTATGTATTCAATTCATCCACTAAATTATAATAGATTTTGACTTATTTTTCAGAAAGACAAATAGCCTAATTATTTTTAAAATAAAATATTTCCCTGCTTCTTTCACACCTCCCCTGAAAGTCCCAAGGGATGCGGATGTCACACTTTGAAAACCCCTGATCTATACAAAGTAATAAAAAAGTAGCAAAACTAAACCTAGGCCCTATTATATAGACAATAAATCAGGAAACAAAATTATGACACAACCTGACACAAACGCAAACCGATTAGTGGGAATCACAGCTGCTTCCAATGGTAAGCCAACACTCCATTTAAGAGCAACTGTTGCTAATTGCCATCTTCTGGTTGGAGGGACTCGTCATCAAAGCCAACCTGGCAGTAGTAAGAAGTGGCCTTGGTTTCAGCAGATCCAATCCTCAGCGGGCAACCTCACAGCTGACTTAACATATAGTAGCCTACACAGATTCTCAACCAGAATACAGAAAAGAGAAGGTGCTGACAGTGGCCGTAACAGACATAAAGTGTCTATAATGGTTTACTTGTTAAGAGTAACCTTCAGATGTTTGAAATAACCCACAGGGAGGGCTTTGTTTGTTTAAGAAGTGATGTATTCAACTTAATTAAGTGTCAGCTTTATATCAAGATTAATGGAAGTAGTTCACATACTTGCAAACATTTGCAAGTTTATTCTTGACTGCATTCTGCAGTATTCTAACCACAGTGTGTCATTTCACGTTCTGCCTTCATGTACAAATGTACTCAGTGGAGAAAAGTACTGTACATTTTATGTAGTACTTTTTTAACCTCTCCATTTTCTACTTCTATGTTTTCGGAGGGAAATAGTGTACCTTTTATTGAAGTACATTTATTTTATGCCAGTTATTTACATTTATATATACATTTTCTTATGAAACAGCCTCAGAGAAGATTTGTTGACATATAATCTCATTTTGAAATGACATATGACCAAAAATAATAGTGCATCCTACTGTCTGTGACACTGTTCCCTAAGTCCTCCTGAAGACATAAATCTTTCATATGTGGGACTGAATAAACTACAGTGTGTGTGTTCGTGGTGATGAAGGAACATGTCACTGAGTGCAACAGTGCGGCTCACTGATGGGTTTTAATAGTTTCTAGACAATAGTGGAGCTCTATTGTAAAGAGGAAGAGGAGACATCAGGGTTTAGATACAGAGGCTACTTGTTAGTAGGATACGTTCTTTGTTGGTTTAGTTTTTTCATGGGATTTGTTGACAATGATAACAAAAATATGAAATATAACCATACACACTCTTAAAACTGGGAACTGGGTTGAATTTTCTAATCTTAAGACGACTTGTAATTCTGTCTGTAAGCCTGATACACCCTGGTCAAACTGTCTTTATATTCCTGACAGGGTGGGAAAATTCCAATCCGCTGGACAGCCCCTGAGGCCATTGCCTACAGGAAGTTCTCTTCGTCCAGTGATGTGTGGAGCTACGGAGTGGTCATGTGGGAGGTGATGTCCTATGGAGAGCGACCATACTGGAACCTCACCAACAGAGATGTGAGCAAAATTTGCTAACCTTCATTGTATTTTCATTGTAGACACTGTCTCATCCATGTTTTGCTGTACATGTGCAGGTGATCAAATCTGTGGAGGAGGGCTACAGGCTGCCTGCTCCTATGGGCTGCCCTGCTGCTCTACACACACTCATGCTGGACTGCTGGCAGAAGGATCGCAATGAGAGGCCACGCTTTTGCCAGATAGTCACCGTTCTTGACAAGCTAATCCGCAACCCAGAGAACCTGAAGTCTTTGGACACGCTCTGCAGGTGGGTGGGCCACCGAATAGATTCATATTTGTGGTGAAGCAACATGGATGGATTGTGTCACATGCCGAGGAGTCCTTTGATTTAATTTGGCATGACAGTTCGCCAACATTTAATCAAATATTGGTTCATGTGATTAGCGGATTAAGCTGCAAATCAAAGCAAGACGCCGTGTGTGAGGGGCTGAGAAGATGATCTCCCGGACAATATATGGTGACAGACTGTTAGGCTACTAAGTAACTGTCCTGGTGTGGGAGGCAGAGTAAATCCAATCTCATCCAGCTGCTATCAAACATGAGCGCAGTGGGATGAAGTTGCAGCCTAAAGTTTCCCTCAAAGTTCTCTGGCAGATGAAGCAAGTGGTCGTTTTCCGATAAGCTCATCTCTGACAGACGTGCTGTGCGTTAAGTAAAAGACTAGCTGTGATATAGACATTGATCCGCTGTGAATCTGGGAGCAGGTCTGAGAGGATGCCCGGGCTGAAGCTGGACCTGTGTAAATTGCTCTGTTCAGATCCCAGGTCCTACGCTGTCAGTGGTGCATGGCACTGTGCATCTGTGTGTGAGGGGGGAGAAGTAGGTAGAGGAAGAGTGTTAAAAATTTCTCCCTTTATTAATCTACCCAAAGCAGCCATCCTGTAACCACAGCCGTCGCCTCTTCTCTATCATTTTAACTGCAATTGATTTTCTGCCTCAGCTACTAGCGCATTTCAAAGCCCCCTTTCCCCCAGTCACTCTGCTTCTTCCTCACTTTTTGACTCTTTTCTCATTTTCGGACTCCCTCCAACTAATTGTCTTCCCATTCCTCTTCCCCTCTCTCACTATCTCTGTCTATCTATGGCCATCTGTCTCTCTCTTGGCAGCAGTTTAAACAGTCCTCCACTGATGGAGAGAGCTATCCCTGACTTCAGTAGCTGTAACTCAGTAAACGAGTGGCTGGACACCATAAAGATGGGCCGCTACAAGGACCACTTTGCAGCAGGGGGATATCACACGCTGGGACACGTCATAGGCATGAACCAAGGGTAAGTACTGACCATGATGGAGAGTGATGGTCAGCTGTAAGCTGACTCTACCAGCTTAAAGACCCTGCAGGGTGAGAAATCACTACACTCCAAGCTTAAACTGTTTGATTGTTACACTAAAGTAAGTTGGTTCTCTGCACACTTGAATCATTATAAAACTGCTCCAAGTAAAAGGCACATTTATATCCGAGCCAGGGGACAGAAGATTTCTATTTCAATCTGCCTTTAAGTCCATCCTTCACTATGACATCATCTCATACTGTATGACCATATCTCCCCTATAATGTGAAGTGACCATGATCCTCTTGCAAAAAAATTGTGAAGCTGATATCAAAGTCAGAAAGAGTCCAGAACACCACCAAATAATATAGTAATCTATATAGGTAAATGCAAACATGAGGGTGTCGGGGGGAAATTACTAAGATAAAATTGGCTAACTAAATTGGTTGGCAGACTGAAGTTTGTATACATTTCAAACTGTGCAGTTGTAAGCACAAACTGCAGATTATTATTACTTATTTAAATGTGGTAGAACGGTTCATTAGCGACTACCCTAATCACCACCACAGTTTAATTTGTACAGCTTTTAGCTCAATTATTTGGCAACATTTTTCAAATGATGCATGAGAAACAGGGACCAAGATAGGAAGGAGACTACCTGTATATTGGGCCCAAAATTTGGTGCAGTGCCCCTGCTGTGTTGTACCAAGTTTCTCAAGACAACAGTTAAAAATGGAAGATATGTTGAGTTTTCATTACCAACATCAACAGCAAATTAAAATGGGAGCTGACCATTACAGAGTAATTATGGTGAAATATACTTAGAATTAATAATTAATAATACAAGCCTATCAATAAAACAAGCCTGTTCTGAATAAAGGGCTTGTTCTCTCTGCCCTGATCATTGTCTGAGAATTTACAGGATGTTCTGTTTTAAATTCTGCGTATACCCCAAAATCTGAGACTGAAACAACATTAAGGCTCAACAACTATGATTTCTGTGTGACTTTTGTGGTGCAGGGACATCCAGAGGCTCGGCGTGACACTGATGGGCCACCAGAAGAAGATCATGACCAGCGTCCAGCTGATGAGGGCGCAGGTCCTCAACAAGAGTGTGCCGTCTGTGCACGTATAACTCCACAGCTGAGGTGTCTTTCTGGGGAAATCTAGGAACCCAGGTTTCTATAAGGCCTAGATGGACTCTAATGGAATTTAAGATGATCTGATAAATGTCAGAACAACATATGTGGGAACTTTACAAGACTTTTTCCTCAAGAGAGTGAAGAACAAAACATGAAAGGTTTTAACTGTGGAGCAAGTAAACATGGCTTATTTGGGACAAGTCCGACCTTTCATTTTTTTTCCTATCCGATTACATTTTCTGAGTTTAAATGTCTTGTTTATAAATGGAAAGACTGCCTTAATTACCACAAATTATTTTAATTTTATTGTCTACAAAGAGAAGATAATTTATCAATCATGAATTTATCAGAGAAATATCATTTCCTGAACTGGGCAACAGCAAGAGTACATGGAGTGATGGAGAGGGTCGGGATGTTTTCAGATGTTGTGATAACACTCACTGCCTCTCCTGCAACAACGGCTTGAGAACGAGGCCCAGAATGCGGCTGGAGTCAGAAAGGGTGGAGAAAAGTGAGATAGGGCTCACCCGAGTTGCCAGATCGTCTCCACAGGGGAGAAGACCTATTTCACCCCAGGCTATTAATACCAACAACAGGAACATTTCTCCGCTGACCAACCTTGATGAATGACCCCAGGAGAGCCCGAGAGCCCTCTGCCCAGTGTGAAGCTGCACGGCGCACAACTGCTGTACTTGGAAGATATGTATGATTCGGTTACAGTGCACTTTATTCTACAATCTCTCTGCATTGGAGAGGCTTTGCAGTTGTGTCACAAATCTTCTCTCAGCCGCAACTGAAGCCACGAAGTTGGCTGTTAAAGAATTACCTGTTTGAAAATATTACATAAACAATGACTAATTAAACAGTATAAAACCCAAGAAGAAAAAGAGATATCTAACATTCATTAGTGTTTTAAGTAACTTGCTTATGAGATTTCTTTCCAGATTTTATTTAAAGTATCTGTAATTAAATTACATACAGGATGTATTTAAATAGGCATACAAATTATATTGGTTATACTTTTTCAGTATATTTGGGGATTTCTTGTTACACCTCTTATTTTAAATAAAATTACAAATATCCTGGTATTTATTGTGCATTTCAAATCAGGTTTAAATGTCTAACAAATATATTTTAAATGCATATTTCAGTTTTGAGTGTGAAAGTGGGTTCTCGATCTTGGGAATAGTGGTTCGACACTTAACAATCTTCAGTTTGCTGGTGAAGGACATGATATGTGGTTGAAATAGTAAGAGGCCCCCGAGTTAAGATTATTTTGTCAAACTTTCTGTCCTGTTGTTTAGTTAAAATCTTGAAACTGCAAAAGAAATCAAAATCAATTTCAAATATATTACAATATATAGTCTACTTCTCAAGCCTGGTCAGGATACATGCTTTCTGCATTACCTTCACAAACAGAAACACATTTTCATGTAGCTTAAATGCATTTTTGAAATGCATTTGGAAGAGCCCATGTATTGAAAATGTATTTGAAAAATATAAATCCTAAATGAACATTAGTTAACGTTTGGTTTTGTTTGTTAGCTAAGTAGTTGGCAGCAAGCTCAGTTAAGTAAAGCAGCTGGCATTAATGTGAACTGACCTCTAGATGCTAACTCTAGCTTCTACTACACTAGTATGTAAGCTAGTTGTACAACAGGAGAGTGGTAATTATAATAATTAACAAAGCACAACGTTTGTAAGCTAAATACTTTAGTTTGTGTAAAAAATATCAGTAAAGCTGGGCATGCTCTGTATGATTTGAGCCCATTTCTGACACGATTTTTGAGCTGCATGACTCAATTTAGAGCCAGACCGAATTTCAGCTTGTGTACAGGGGAGCGAGGACCGATCAGCTTCTCCTGAACGGCCGTCTGGCATTTTCTGTATGAATTTCTGACATGTCAGAAATTTTGGTCAATTCAGACACCTTGAATGGTGTCTGAATCTCAATGTATACAGTAAAATGTAGCTAGCTGACCTCCAATTCTCTCTGCTAAAAGGACAGGCCATAGCTACTGTCCACCAGTTTTTTCTCTTTTCTCTTTTTCTTTTCCGACGTTTCGGCACAAAAGATGACACAGATGATCGAAGCAGCACGTTTCTGCCTTGTTAGCGTTATTGCTAGCAAACAAACCTCTACCTGCCTCCGGGCTTTCAAACGAGTCTTTACTGACAATTGTCAATAGCCAGAATGCTCCGCAGAGGCCGACAGGCCTGTGTTTACATGTAGTACTTAGGTCGTGGCTTGGCGATCGGACCGTACCGCGTGAGCACGTAAATTGTGAGCTTTGGCTCTATATCACAGTCAAGTCCTCGTAATTCTCTCGTACAGTGGGGGTTGGATTTAAACAACATTTTTTAAATCATACGGTGTATGCCCAGTTTAAAAGAAGCCAGCACAAAATATCTGTGTGCTGAAGTCTGTTTCAGTGCTAAACAACACCTGTTTACAGTGACTGTCCAAGGCCTACAAAATGGCTGCCAGTGTCCCACTACGCACCCAGTGTTGGTTGAATCAAATCTCTGTTGTGACATCATTAAAGCTGGGGTAGGTCATGTATTTCGGAAGCATTTCTTGTTATATCTGTTGAAATTCTCTTTGCATCCCGAAAGCAATCAATAAATAAAATGCTCTGACACAAAAAAATGTGTGGTGTCTGTGGCTGTCGCAGGACTGTAATAAGCACGGCCAGTCCTTTCTGGCTGGCCTGCCTACCAGCCCACCTGCGTGCACTCTGCCTATGCACTCGCTGCACATTCTTTCTGGTTTCTCCAGTGTTGCCTACCCCAGCTTTAAGCCCAGAAACAGTTGTAAAAATCTGACAGTGGTCCATGACTTTTTACCGAAATGTATCCATGACTGCCAAACCTGTACAACATTTTTATATTCCCTTAACTTTTCCCTTAAATATTATAATATAAATATGCCCTACATCTTTATTGGCAAAATCAGACATACATAAAGGTGGGTTGTCTTTGTACCCACGTTGTCGAGTAATATTTCTTCTGAGTAATGTTTTGCTGGGAGGGTGCGTTACACCTGAAAGCCCTCGTATTCTCATGAAAATTATGAACAAAATGGTTTTGTTTAATTCAGTGGATTTTTTCATCCGTCAGCACTAATACTATTCAGTGCAATTATTCTGTACCCCAGAGTACATATCTGAACACATTTGTTGTGTGAATGCTGGGAAACTAGTACACATAAGCTACACAGACTGTAAAATAAAGTGTTACTTCTGATTATATGTGATTACACTGTTTGCCTCAGTGTTAATGAAATGGGGAAGAACATGTAAGTAGAATGTTTATGTCTAAAGGCTCTCAAAAGTACATAATTAGTCCTAATTTATACCCCCTATGCCATCAAGAGAATGTCTTTTTCTTGTGCACCCCAGTAGGTTTTCCTCTATATGATTGATGTCAGTTTTTATTAGAGAAGAACCTCATGGTATTTTTTGAGGATGTATCATAGCGGCATTTCACTACTGGTTTCAAAAGATTTCTTTTTTCTTTAGGACGCTTTTAAAGACACTGGACTTGAACTGAAAACCCATATTTTATAAAGTTAGGATATGTTTTTGCTAGATGAATTGATTTATAATGTATACAGCAAGTTCAGTCACTGGAAGGAAGAAAAAACAGTAATTCATTCACATTTCATTATTTATTCATACTTACTTGTTTTCCAAATAATACAACTCTGAGAGATTTTCTTACAGTTGATGAATCATCCTTGTTGCTAATGATAAATGTGCAAACTGTCCATAAATACACAATAAAGGAACGTTTGTCTGTGTGTGACTGCAACAGTGATTTTCCGACTATTTCTAATACAATAGAGAACTGATGTCCACCCATACTTCAGTTGCACTAGCTTTTGGTTCTTTGGTTATGCACACTAAACCTCACAGGAGTTGTAGTTGGTGAATGCAAGTGCTTTATGTTGGTTTAAAGCTGCACTATTGTCTTTATATTAACAATGGATCAAATTCTTACATGTACACAGTGACAAATCCACAGAGAATTTTGTTTTCTCTTTCCAGAGATCAGTTCTAACGGCAGCAGATTTCAGAAACATAAAAACAAAACAGAATAAAAGCCCTGATCCAGCGTCCGCTACTGTGCACCAAACAGCAGACATACAAAGATAGCAGTTTTTATTACCATCTTTGTTAATAGGTTGGCTTTAACATTACTCAATGTGTTAGTAGTTAGTTAACAATATGTCAGTTAATGATCATATTTGTTTGATGTTGTAATAGTAAGTGTTCTGACAAAAGAGTTCGGAAATGCAATTTCATGTTCATGTTTCAAGGGAATCCACAATCTCACATTTTCTGATGGCTTTTTCAGAGGTGTGTCAAGCAAGCCAGAGACTCTTTAGAATTTCCTATAGAACAAAGTAAAAGCTCTCAATTAAACACGACATAAAGTATTGCTGCAAAAATGTTCTTAAGCTTTTATTTTGCAGACACAATCACTGAAGAGGAAGTGATTATCTGAGTAACTGTTGTTGTCATGACTGTTTCAGCAACAGCTGCTATAATTTCTTTTTTTTTGCCACTATCAAAGTAATCTGGCCACAGGCCAGATATTATTGCTGGCGGGCCAACACATATTGCCAACCAGTCGTATAATGTTAATATATTACTTATAGTTACTATATTCATTATAATTTCATATGTAGTTTTACTACTAGGTCACTATATTGAGTCCAGTTACAGCACTTTCATTTTTGTTGTTAAAAATACGGGAGAATTGCGGGAAAATATTTAAACGGGAAAATACCAGGGTGGAATGGTAAAATACGGGATAGTCGCTGGTAAAACCGGAGGGTTGACAGGTATGGTTGCGAGGTACGGCCTCCATGGATCGGATCACATGGATCAAAATATTGTCAAACAAGACGAATGAAACAGATGCTATCTTGAAGCCGTGGCAGGACTATGGCACTCAATGAGTTCAGTGCTGAATCTGAACTATGCCCAAAAGTCCGCTGTGCATAAATGTCTGTTTACCAAAAGAAAACCAGTTGAGTGTTTTAAATAAACTGTGTTCACCACCTGATGCACTCCCCCTCCCTGCATGGCATTTTCTATGGATCATTCTTGCCAAACATGAAAGAATTCAGCGTGTAGTCCTGAATGCGACAGTCCCCAGAAAGATATTTGCTTGAGGAGTGGTGCATCATTTAAACAAACGCCTCACAAATCTTTTGTAATGAATATTTCTCCTGTGTTCAGAGAGGGCAGAGCTCAAGAAAATTCATCTAGGGCTCATCTCTGACAAAGAAAGGCATCATTACTCTGTCAGTCGATCTGAACTTCGCAGCACCATGACGCTCACTCTGCAACACTCGGGTTGAAAACAATTGACTTTGACTTCCTTAATGCTCATTGCTGAGTTTTTGAGTAAATTGCTTTTTTTGTGTGGGAATGAGCCCTGACCCAACTCTGAAACATCATTTTGAGCTCAGCCTGAATAGGGAATGGCCTGATGAATCTGTGTCTGAGTAATTGTCCTTTCCTTCACCTTAGGAGGGCTGTTAGGAGATAATCCTCTCCTTGGTGAAACAAGACCTAACACAACATCATTAATCTCATTACTAAGGCCGTGTTGCTTTGTTGCCACACAGTCCCACGTCCAATTATCAGCCCCAGCCCCATCCCCATGATGACGCCGAGTCCCACCCATCACAAACGACCATCTACACTGTCCCCTGATTGACTTCTTTGAGCGCAGCCGTGATAGCACTTTGTATCTGCGATCAGGCACCCTCCGAGCCTCAGCTGTGCCCGTGTCCTCGTGTCCCCTGGATGTCCTGTGGTTGACTGAACGGCACACAACGCTGATCACAACGCGAGTGGTTTTGGCGTTTCTTATCGCCTCACAGCAGGTCCACATGATGAGAGAGTGGCAGACAATGCGGATGGATTTAAACGCTCAAGCACTGATTGTCAAGTTTACTTCTATCCTAAAGTAGCAACAATACAAATTCAATAACCAGATTTCAAATCTGTGTAAATCTGCACAGTCATAATGAAGTCTTTGCGAACAACCTTGGAACAATGCATGTGTATAGCTTGTTGTAATTCCACCAGTATATTTCATCAAGCAAACAATCCGTGAGAGCCGAGTGAGATGCAGTCACTAGGGACTGCCTTGTCAGCTCACTCTGCCTGCTGCTATAGGTACTTTTAGTTTTGGTCTTTATTATTTTTACACTGCTGTGAAGGGCCTTTTCCCTAAACACAACACAAAATATCTTTCAGCACCACTATTTTAGAACACCTTCGTTGACAGAATGGGAAAAAGGTGTGCAAATTCATCACCGACAGGATTTTATTGGATTGACCTGCCACTGTTCTACACGAAATGTGATTTATACGCTATAAGAACAGGGGAACACACTGTGTTCAGAAGCAAACTGTTGAATAAGCCTAAAGCTCTCAGTTCAGTGTGAGGCCACTCTGCCTTTTCAAAAGAGCAATAAAATGAAAGCACTGAATTTTGTGCAGTAAACAACCTGATGACTGGTTGAAAAACCTCCTCAAGAAAAGAAATGACTGGAAATGTGCCAGAGAGGCGTTCCTGCTAGCAAAAAAACTCCTGGGTCAACATACCAGTCAGGGTATTTACATGCATTTTAATTATTGTCTGCTTTCTGTGGATTTCTTCTGTGTCATGTAAACTGGCAAATCTGGTTTTCGTACCGGCAAGATTATAAGAAAAAAATTTTTTTCCTGTAGATTCCACCTGCAAAAAGCAGATTTCTCAGTCATGTGTATCCAGGTTTCTAATTTGCAAATAAACATGTGTGGTCAGATCATTATATATAGTGATACATTCATGTTATTAAAATCTGAAAATGACATTAAGTAGTCTCTGCAAATCTAAATAAGTTTCCACAGTTCAGCATTAGACAGACTATTTGCATAATCAGAATTAATCTGTGAGGGACAACTGTGTCTCATCACAGAACCTGCTCTGACACACACACAGATACAAAAAAATTAAGAAGCAACCTTTTGTATCACTAATGCTCATAAGATAATAATAATTAATAATAATTATTTCAAAATAAATTCAGAGGAAGGGGAGAAATCTGATTACTGATCTGCTGTATGTATCCCTATATTTTACATCAACCAGGTTACAATAAGCGTTTAGTTACAGGTTGGAATAAGTGTCCAGTAAAAGAGTACAACACAGTAGATTTCTACAGCAGGACACCAACAGCACTCCACTGATCTTGTCTGCAAGTATGTGACATTTAATTCATTATACCAGTTCCAGACAGCATGAATTGTCCAAATACTGCCAAAACTTCTACCCACAACTTTGGAGAGTTAATATCTACGTTAAAATGGTTCTACATTTGTTCGAATACTTAACAGGATTTTAATGACTATATTTCAGTGTGTACTTTGGACCTGCTTCACATTAAGATGCAGTGGAGTCATTGAAATAAAGGCTAAAACAATAGTACATTTAACCTGTGTGAGCAATGACAGTAGTGAAAATAGGTAAACTATGTAAAGGAAATGTTTGAGCCCAAGATACTCAGTATACCTAGCAAAATAAATATTGTCACAGTCTAATGAAAACCATGTATCTCCAAATGATCAGCTTTTTATGACATCATAGAAAAACAAATATAAAGATATGTGGTTGTCAATGGACAGCAAATATTTATGCATAATACAGTATAATAGTATGTTCTATATATACATACTAAAAAATATACATTCATAATAGAATAAAATGAATATATACCTGGAGAATAAAAGAGGTTGGAGTACCATTTTATATTACAAGCAAACTGTACAGGAACGTCCATCTGTGTCATTGCGTTACAAATGTTACAAATATATACAGAAAGAAGATTATTAGATTAAGTTTGCTACAACAGTCGATAATAATAATAATAATAATAATAATAATAATAATAATAATAATAATAATAATAATAACATCCTATCAGGGGTCAGTATTCATTTCTTTGGTGTAACTTCTTCTAAGTAGCAGAGAAGCTGAGTTCTCACAGCAGACAGTGAATCAACAATATGTTTTCAATGCACCATTTTGCACAAACACTATTATATTGTGCATATATTCATGACTTAATGTTGCTGCTCTGTAAATAGGCCATATATAATTCATGAGGCACACAGACTGACAAAATAAATCTAAATATATAAATTCAAAACCTTAAGACTCAACATAGTGCTGAGTCCTGTGTATTCTGTTGCTTTGTCACAGGCATGTAGATGTGGTCAGGTCATGGTGTTATTTCTCAAAGAAATCTGTCAAAAAGAATCTGTTGATTTCCTGATGGTTTTTCACAGCCATACCAGCTTTTCCTGGCACTGAACACCAGCTTTGTACAGCACCGTGTTCGGCTGAAAGCTCTAAGTGTCAGCATAAGTGTTTACCAAATAACGTATGTAAATTAATGGTAATCAGCGTGTAAATGTTTGCCACATCGTAACAGATTTAAAGCTGCACAAGTCCAATCATTCATGTGTTTGTTCAGAATTAATTGCATTAAGTCATCATATTGACATAAGGATCTTAATCAGACGCCGCTGCTGGACAGTATTTCTCTCACCAGATGTTCACTTGGCCGTTTCAGGCTGAAACACAAGCTCACCTTTTAAGAGTTATCATCCATGTCAGACATGTTTGACTCATATTGCTCAAGTGGATAAATATCACTTAAGATTTGAAAATGCTTTTACTTCTCTCTGAATGTACGTGTCCATCCATGACATCTGGTAGCCTATAGATTATTTC